AAATTGATTTTATTGTGTTAAGGATAAAATGTTTTTAAGTTGATGAAGTTTGTCAATTATCGCATGTTTCCTTTTATGGAATAAAAGAAGTGAAAAAATAAAAATATATTTTTTTACATGCTCTTTAATTAGTGCTTCAACTTTTATTGTCTTATTTTTTTTCTTGTTCATAATTTTTTTTTTGTGAAATTAACTTTTAAATTTATTAAAAAAAATTTTTGGTGAAATTAATTTGTGAAGTTAAAGTTAAAAAATTTCTTTTTGTTATAATTAAATTGGATAAAAATAGATACCATGGCTCTAATCGATATGAGAGAATTTTATGTTCAAGTCGTCCAAGAAGGCAGTCAAGGGTAAAACAATAAGACTAGCCCCCACCAAGATTGTGAAGAAAACAGTAGCGCATAACCTTCGCAGATGTTTCCGTCGTGGATCGACTCAACATATGATAGCTCGGGTATGTTATACGTAGAGGATCATCACATCGAAATATCCATCCTTGGTGGAACAACGCCAAAATCGTTTAAAGGATGATACCGTCAATACGAATATTTTCTCGCTGGATAGATTTTTGCTGCCGGATCATTAACGATTCCCAATGAGCGAATGAATCACATGGATGTGATAGACCGTGTTATCACTGGCTGGATGCGAGTCATTTTTGGAGGATTTGAGCTGGGAGACAACAATTGATTCTGAACAAAACTAGCAGACAAGTTTTTTTTGGTGTACATACATATTTAATCATTTATAATCCTTGTACAAGCCTGTCACATTTCATTTATTGGATGATGGGTGATAATATTCATCTTTATTGGATGATGGATGAATAATAATTTTCACTTTATTTGATAATGGATAAATCAGAAATTTTTCTATTTATAAAGTGTGTAGAGATTAATATTTAATTTGATGAAGGGTTATTATTCTAGCAATTCTATTATTTTTATAAAATATGCTGTTTATATTAAGTACTTTTGATTTATGAAATAAAAAATCGATTTATCTAGTAAGAATAGATTTTTTAAGTTATATATATTATAAATACGAATGAATAAAAATTTAGTTTAAAAGATTTTTTATAGTGCACATAAATCAAAGATACTAAATATATACTTCATTTCGCATATTTTATAAAAATAATGGAAAATTTTAGAAAACCCTCTCATCAAAATAAATTTCTGATTCATCCATCATCAAATAAAAAGTTGAAATTTATTATTCATCCATATCGAATAAAAGAGAAAATTCTGATTCCTTGTCATTCTTGAAGAGTTAGAGTGCATTCACAGTAGAGAGCGACAGCGATACGACAAACATGACACGACATTAACGACAGAACAACTGATGTGTCGAAAGCGACATAGCATTCATAGTAGTTGTGACAAGCAAAAATTAATCCTATTATATCGTTATATGAAAAGAAGCAGAAAAAATAGCCTGAATGCTAGAAAAGAAGAGGAAGGGGAATAGTACTCAGTACTATTCCCAAAACGTATAAACAACCCTGAAAAGTTATATGAGATTAACCAAAGTATATATTTCATTGTATAATCTTTAAATTTTGTATTTAGAAAACCTTTTATTATATTTTAACCCATATTAAATCAAACTAGTGGTAGAAAATCAAATTTTATTAAAAATCCCATATCAGTGGAAGAAGAATTGATGATCACACCAAGGTTTATATTATTAATTTTATTTTATGTAATCAAAATTGCTCAGATATTTGGGAACAAGATGTAACTATCCAAGTTTAGCCTATTCATATAAAATGGGAATATCGACAATTCAAAATATAATTATTACAACATGCACTGTAATATTTGAAGTATTTGAAAATATCCATTTGAAACCACCTAATTTAAATGACTTCAAAATAATTGTTGATCAATTTGAGAAGTCTTGGAAATTTCCAAATTGTGTTGGAGCCATTGATGGCAAGCACATTGAGATTAAAATCCTTCCAAATCTGGGAGCATATATTACAATTGTAAACAATATTTCTCCATGATATTACAAGCATTAGTAAATGGTAAAGGTAGATTTGTAGGCAGTTATGGTAGTGAATCAGATGGAGGTGTGTACTCAAATTCTTTGTTATCAAAAATGATTGAAAATGGAGACTTAGATATTCCACCACCTAAAAACTTACCAAATACAAATATAATTCTGCCACATGTTTTTGTTACAGATGATGCCTACCCATTAAAATATTATATTATGAAACTTTATAAAGGTAAGTTAACACATATTCAGGAAAATTATAATTATAGTATTTCAAGGGCCAATGGTGGAATGCACCTTTGCATATTGGCATCTAAATGGCGTATTCTTAATCCAGCCTTGGATACCAATGTTACCAATAGTGAGACCATTATAAAAACTTGTGCACTGTTACACATCTTGGTAATTGATAAAGAAAACATAGATTTCCACCCCAAGGATACTCAAGATCCTAAACAAAATAATTATTTATGGAATCCTCAGTCTATAAAACACCTCAAAGGCTTCTAAAGATATTAGAGATGCCTTTTCTGAATATTTTTATAGAAATAAATTATCATAACAATTATAATTTTATAATTTATTAAATTTTAAAAATATTACTCTATTTTTGTCATGGTATATAATTGATTTATAATTATTTAAGAAAAAGAAAGTATATTTGTTGTGTTATTATACGTGTCTTAAATAAAAACAATCTGAGATTAAATTTTGTTAAAATAATAGAAAAGCCTCCAATGAAATAATAACTATGCAATATAATATTTTTTATTATTCTCACTTTCATAATTAATTAGTATATCAAAAATTATTTTAATAGGTTTTTTCTTTCTCTGATCTTTTTGCAAGGGTTTGCTCAAGCATAATCTTCTTTCTTTTATTTTTTCTTCTATTTCAAGAATTCGCTCAAATAAATTTAGTTTAAAATAATAAATTTATTTACAAATGCAAATTACCTTGATCAATATCCCCCTTTTTAATTAATTTTTTGCACGATACATATGATCCTAAACTAGTTGATGGTGATGCTAGATATATATATTATTTATATAAAATATAATTACAATCCTTCCTTAAAATTGTGAATTCACTTTGACTAGTCTCAATGCATGCGATTTCAACAGCTATGTAATAATAAAATCTTAACAAAAATTAGTATATTTACTATCTTCATATAGATAATTATCATTTCCACTCATCTAATCAAACATTGCTCAAGCAATATTTGCTTCATCATTATTAGATATAACAGGATTTATTTTTTTCAAGTTTGTAATTGTTTCCCTAGTTGTATGGTTAGAATTAGAAAAGCCAAGTTATGGTACAATTGCCAAGTGGGAGTGTGATTAGCCCCTGACCTACTCTTTAAAGATCTTAATTTTTTATGCTCCCTAATAAAGCAATCTCTTAAATTTTCCCATGCTGATTTGGCCATCTGTACTGCAAATCAAAAATATTTCAAATTAATATACTCTAATTACCTGTTTCATTATTGTTTTCAGCTGATATTGATTTCTATATATAACATAATATTTATTTATATTCTAAAAATATATATAACATAATTATTTTAATAGCATTTCAAAAATTCACTTGCAAATTTTCTATTTCGGCCATATTGTAGTTATGTCGCTTTGAAAATAACAAAATGTTTTGTAATTTGATTTCTATGTTTAATGCGGCAAATGTGGCGGGAATGTCGTGTCGCGTCGCAAAAGCTAACTAGGAATAGTCATTGGTAATTACAAATATTTGTATTTTTTTGCGTCGCTGTCTACTGTGAATGAACCCTTAGATTCATTCCGGTTTCCATTTTTATAAAAAAATTTAGCCTACATTATGGCATTTATTCAAAAAATTGGACAATTTTTCCAGCTGATAAAGAAGGAAAGGATTTCCCCATTTTGTTAATTTTCATAATATTAATTGATAAGTGTTCATTTTTATTTATATTTAAATCATCAAAATTATATATATAAGAAAAATCCTTTTCGGACAAAATTTCCAACTTTTTTGTCAGATATTTAACTATAAATATCAAAAAAATTCAAGGGCAAATATAAAATTTTTATGTTTAGTAAACCCAACACAAGATAAAAATTCACCACCCAGTTTAAAATCATTGCATAATATAATATAAAAAACCTTGTTCATTTCAATGGTTTAAATGCCATTTAATCGTTAATAAAAATGAATATATTTTGATAATAAAAAAATGCAAAATCGTTTGTAATAAAAATGGTGTTTTTGAAAGCATATCTCTTTTAAGTTTTGTTTTTTCTTGCTTTGAAATGGGCCTTACAATAGTTTGAGTACATTTGAGCTAAATTCGTTAACCTCAGTCCTTCATTAACACGATTGGAAAAATTATTAAATAGTGAGAGGTTGTAATCTGTGAATGGACAAACTAAATAAATTTTCCTATATTTTATAAAAATGAATAATATAGTTTTAACAATTATCGATCCTCCTGGCTTTTAATTCATATTTTTAAAATTAATTATATGGAAGAAAGAGGCCTTCTATTCTTTTTATGAAAATTTATAATGAGTTTCTATTTAATACTTTTTTTTATAAAATTATATTTAATAAGATTTGTGGAATATTGCTATTTCTAATTGGTTTAGAGATTGTATTATTATTTATTATCAAATCTTTATTTAACATTTATGACTAACGTCTTTTCTAAGACATAAATACCCAATGGTCTTTTTTAAGATTAATGAATAATAAACGGTTTTTTTTAAGTCAATAAATACCCAACGGCCCTAAGGGCCCCTAAATTTTAAGTGAAATTTAAATTCCTGATAATTTATATTATTAAAGTATGGTTAATTATCTATATTTATTTTCTAAACCTCTTTTTTTTATAAACATTCCACTTTGGTGTATGATTCTATTTATGATTTTTTCGAAAAATTAGAAGTTGAACGACACTATGTCGTATGATGTGTAAATCTAGTCTACCCATATAAAAAAAGGTTTATTAAAACCTCGAGAAGTGTTTGAAATTATGAGATCCGGTGAATTGCTATGTATATCTATTTTATATGAATCATCGTTCAAGCCCTCGTTATAATGTTGATGATCGTTGGTAGAATTTATCTTAAATTAATATTTATTAATGTAAAAATAATATTTATATCAGAGACTTGCAAGTTCGGCCCGGGTACTATTTAAATTTTTTTATTATCCCATGCGGGGCCTAAAATTTTTTTTAAAAAAATACCCGGGCCGGCGGGCCGTATTTTAAATTACCATTATTATCTAAAAAAAAATATATATATTTTTTTTAAATTTTATTAGAAAAATGGGCGCCATGCAAATGAACTTTTTTAAAATTCTTAAATTGCCAAAATCTATTTTTTGAAAGGAACTTGGTAAATATAAATTGCTAGTACAGCGTTGTGCTGATTTGTCAGAAAACATTTTTATATTTTATCATTTATTTGCAAATAAAATTATTTACCTTTTAAATTATTAAGAATATAAATATTTTATTTGAAAGATTTTTGCAAATTAAATAATCTTATTCTACAACATATTAAAAAATATGGAAATGCTTATCAATCAAATCTTCAAAAATGGTAAATATCAATTTATATGAATATACTGGTTATATTTTCATAAGCAGTGTTTTCGCTATTATATTATTATCTAAAGAGCTAAAAAATTTATTGATTTTGAAAAAATAATGATATCACCAAATATTTGAAAAAAGTTAGTTATAATCCGATAGATAGTTATTAAAAAATATAAATATGAGCTTTAAGAAGACTTAAAAATAACAAACTTTTTTAAATCAAAGAGAAATATGAATTACAAATTGAAAAAGGATTTCTTACAGCCCCAAGTTGGTCACCTTGATCAGCGGACGTCGGAAGGATGTTATTATCAGGTTGCTGACTAGCAAACGATTTTGATTCGTAAATGAGTAGCGTTTCGGTGATACCTCTTTCCATGTCGACTTCGTTATTTTTGTCTAAATCAACCGTGGAAGATTCCAAATGAGCAATTTTTTTAAAGGATTTTACAAGCAAGTTCTATGAAAAAAGGAAGTGATGGGTGTAAAGACAATAAGCGTAATAATAAAACCATTTTTTTTATATAAAGGTGAATTTAAATCAGAAGGATCATTGTTTCTTAAATTTTCTCCTCGTTGCAACATTCATATATTTCTCTTCGTTTTCCGTGTTTAAATCAAAAACCCTTCACATATATTCTTATTTTATGTATTAGCTAGATAGCAACAAAATCGTGGATTTAGTTGCGAAATTATATTAAATATAGATCTTCGAATGTATAAGCATCGAAAAAGCATTCAATTTAAAAAAAAAATACTTTAATAATTGAGCATGTTAAAAAGAATATATTATCGTGGTTTTAGTTTGAGGTGTAAAAACAAAATAAGATGCATAAAATTTTTAGCTATTTATACAATTTTTGTTAAAAATTAAGGCAGTTTTGCTGTTATCTAGCCAGGATACATGGTTCACTTATAATTAGTAAAAACCTTATCATTTTGTTCATCCTCAGTCGATAACAGCCGTTTTCGGTACTGTCCCATAACGTTAGAGGTATCCGACGCAAGCCAAACTGGAATCTTACTTCGATTATGACCAATTTTTTCGACGTCCGATCTGGTTCGAGTCGAATTCGGCTCGTTACTCGAGTTACAGTAAGAGGCAATATCATCATTCAAATCTGGGTCCGTTTCCGTTTGGATGTTTATGGTTATACCACCGGTTTTGTACCATTCGTATTCAGCCCCGACATATTTTTTTGCACTATTTTTCCATATCCTTTAGAGAGATTGGAGGAAGGGAGGAAAAATAGGAACGTGAATAATAGTAGTAAATGGTTTAATAGGAAAATAATAATTAAAATAAAGTAAACAATTTAATAGACTTCGAACAAGTGGCCAGACTGATATATATGATAGCGTCAATGTGTTATTTTCGGGAATGTGTATATTGCGTGATTTTTTTCGGAAATATGTTATAGTGGTAGGTAAGGGTGGGACCAATACCAATATATTATTGGTTTACAATACCAATATATAAATATATATTAGTCCTAAATATATTGGTTTGATATATTGTTTAAATACATAACCAATACCAATCCCAATATTAAAAATAGATAAATACATATAATTATTTGGTTTTATCGTGGATGATTATTAGTGATCTGCATCGGGCCTAATTTTTCAAGCCCGGCCCGAAATTATTTTTGAAAAAATTTACCGGCCCGGCCCGAATTTACTATAAATATAGAAATTAATTTTTATAAATAATTCAAAATAAACGATATATGTTATGTGGCGTCTAGTTTCTATAAATAAAATCAAATATTTTTATTTTACATAAAAAATTCAATATAAAATTGATAAATTTTGATATATTTAAAAAATTTCTAAGGCCCGACCCGGCCCGAGCCCGATTTTTTTTTAAAAAGATCTCTAATGATTATATCGTGGTATATTCTTTTACTTTCTTTAAATCAAAGACCTGCAGGCCCGGCCCTAAGCCCGGTACCCGGGCCGTATTTTAAATTTTTTAAATATACCCGGACCGGGCCGGGCCTGAATTTTTTTTTTAAAATACCCGGGCCGAGCCGTAAAATTTTTTTAAAAAATTTATACAACATGAATTATATTATATTCGTCAATTAGATATGGTTATAATGATTATATATATATATAGTTATGATTAATATAATGTTGGATGAAAATTAAGACTAGCTAACACTCATAGTATCTATTACATAATATAATTATAATTTTCCTGCCATGATAAGCAAAGGATTATATACATTATTATATAATATATGTTATATTTTTTAATAATTAAAATATCATTTTTATTTTTTTTATAAATACATAGTATATTCTCAAAATATTATTTACACAAATTTTTATAATATCAATTTGTAATATACTAAATATCTGTTTAGAATAAAATAAAATATGCTTGCTTATTAAATGATAATACTCGCCGAAAAATATGATAAAATACCAAATAGGTGAATTTTTTATACCAGGTCGAATATAATTTTTTTTAAATCCGGGCCGGGCCCAAAAATTTTTTTTTAAATATCCGGGCCGGACCGAGCCTATAATTTTTAAACACGGGTAATCCGAAAATTTTTTTTAAAAAAAAATCCGAGCTGGGCCGTGCAAATGGTACCTCTGCAGGTCTCTGCTTTTAATTACCTAAACTTATTACATCCGATATTTCAGTGCAAATACTAACTTTATCCATATTGGTGTTATTTCTAATTGTAGTTTAATTTTATTATGGAAGTAAATTTTTTACATGATATCAATTTCTATCTATTCATTCAGGATATTGTAATGAATGAAGACCAAATAGTGTAAGTAAATATAAATAATGCTGATGATACTAATATGATAATGAACAAGAACAATCATCAATATATAATAAAAGACGAAATAGAGCAAAAATCTGGAAATTTTATACGAGTTGGGATGGGATATTTGTAATAAATGCAAAAAAATCTCTTCCCAATTTTGGAACCTCAAGGTTATGGACATATCTTAAATCATCCACCCAACATTATATAGGAAATGTGAACAAACAAATAAAATTGACAGTAGAAAAATTAACAGAATAAAATCATTTTTAGTTAATAATATAAATAATAAAACTAATTTAAAACATTTAGAGGATATCACTTTTAAAAATTTAATAGCATATTGTAACCCTTCACTAACATTAGCTTAGAAAAATACTAAAATTAGAAATTATGAAACATTATCATAGCTTTTTTAACAATCTAAAATCTGTACTTTCTAACATTACATCTTTTCCTTAATAATGGACATATGGTCCTCTCCAAATAAAATACCCTATATGGGCATAACAATTCATTATTATATAGATGATTTTAAATTAAATAATCATTTATTAGATTTCATTCCTTTTAAATCAGCACATAATTCTATATTTTTAATAAAAGTAAAATGTGAAATTGATTTTTTTATGTAATACATTAGATAATACAAGTAATAATTTAGCATTTCTAAAAATTTTAAATTAAAAAGATAATTTTAATTTAAATAATGTGTACAAATGCTCTTGCCATGTTATACATTTGACTGTTATGACCGCCTTGGAACCCTTAAATAACACTTTAAGAAAAATAAGAAAGTTTTTAAAATTTCTATATTTAAATTTAATAAACTTGAAAAAATATTTATTGAAAAAATTCAACCCCTCCCCTCACCCAATTCTGGATATACCAATATGTTGGAATTCAACATACCAAATGCTTGAAATGGCAATATTTCTCAAACCCTATTTGACAACATCCAATCATTTACAAAATACCAATGAAGAAAATTATATTAGTGCCTTAACCTGGAATAATATAGAAATATATCGAGAATTTCTGGAATCATTTAATTTTGCTACACAGATGGCCTCATGTGCAAACCCTCCATCAGTTTCAACGGTCATTCCTTTATATTCAAGTATTTTTGAGTATGTTGAGAGTTACAATAATATTCCTATTACTATTTTAAAGAGATTCTTTAGCTGCCTTAGCAAAACTTGTATCAAGTCACCTATTAAAGGATAATAGTAAAGACACTCTCATAGGATACCTAATAGAAGAATATAATATTTATAAAATAAATCATTTCAATTCAGTTGAACATATAAATGAAACAAAATAAATCAAAAAATTGTCCTTTATGATAAAATATATCAAGCTAAACAGTAATAACAATAATAGCTTAGAAATAAGCAAATATGTGGATGAAGTCACAATTTCTAATAATACAAAACAAATCCAATAGGCTCGTGGAAATTAAATCAAAATAGATATCCAATATTACCAGAAATTTAGAGATTATCTTGCAATTCCAGCTAGCTCTGTGAAAGGGGGTTTTCAGAAGAACGGTATGTTATATCGGACAACGTTATTCACTATATGAACATACTATACAAGTTTGCCTGTGCCTAAAAAGTTGGATGCGCTGCAGGATCCTTCTTAAAGACATATTAAATTATTTTCCCTTATATTAAATTTATATCAATCCTTTGCACTGTATTTTTTATAATAGACAGTTATGTTATATTTTAGTGTACTCATTTTGATATATTCTTTAAGGAAGATAAAAAGTTTCAAAATCAATATGTTTATTATTTGATAGAATAAATTCATAAAAAAAAATTTGGATTTAGTAAAATTTTGAGAGTTGGTTAGTAGCCCTGTTTTTGGTAATGCTTCAAGATTTTTTTTTCCACTATTCTATTCTTTTAATTAGTAATTTGAATTTAAACCAATATCAATACAAGAAATAGAGAATATTGTTTAAACCAATACCAATATTTTAGACCCAACACCAATACAATATTTTGTTAAACTTGGGTTTTTAATATTGGCTCCCAGCCCTAGTGGTAGGCAGGGTGAATTCGTTATTTCGACAATGTACACATTGTATGGTTAAATTAGGCAAGGTGTTATTTTTGTAATATTATATAATATTAATAATTTTCCAAATTTATAGCATATTTTTCAGATATAATATATAATTTTAAATATAATATTTTTTTAAGATGATATTTTATATATTTATTTTTTAAGTACTTTTTTCTGATATATCTTTTGATCGCTAATTTTTTTAAATATATATTTTAGGCTGTGTCTTTTGAAAAATCCTTAAAATTTTCGCAAATTAATAACATAACATTTTGTACACATTCAAGTTTTATAAAAATTTAAATATTCAAAATGCTTGATATGATTGAATTATTAGTTATTTATTAAAAGATATGTAAATATTTAACTGTATTTATTATTTTATATTACCTTTCAGTTAAACTTTGTATGAACCTATTATTTGATAATGGTTATATATATATAAATATTATTTATATACTTAATAAATACATATATGTATAAATAATTGTATCAATATTTAATAAACAGTTGGAAAACCATTAATAACTTTTATTTAGAAAGATAATTTCTTCATAAAATATATATAAATTATTATATTTGAGTTATATAATAAAATTGTAATAGAAATAATTATATAAATAGGGATAATTTACATAAATGAAGCAAAATTTCATAAAATAGTTTTTAAATTTAACAATATCTTCTATTGACTGGCATCAGCTTAATTTAAATAAGATTGATAAAACCCCATCATATGTTGTTTATCATTAAGCTTTTCTATTTTGTTTGAATCTAGAAAAACTATTTTATATTTTTGTCTTTTAATATTTTACATTTGTCTGTGAAAATTTAAAACTTCATCAACATTTTTTTTAACCATAAATATTGTTCAATGTATAGTAGATCCTTACTTTTTATATTAATAGCACCAGAACCTTTTATTAAAATATTTTATAATTTTTATATATAATTTTTATTTTGAGAGCATATAATTTATTAAATTTAGTCTTTACAGCTAAAAATTTCATCTTCACTTGATCATAATTCAAGTTATATGTTATACCTATTTCTTCCCAAATTTTTTTATTTTCTACAGAATCTCTAAATTTTAAATCATTTTTGCACCAGAGCTTCCTGTGCAGTCATATGCTTTCCATAAAATTATTTGACAATAAAAAATATATTTATACTATAATCGTTTGGGTTAGTAAATTTATAAAAATGGGCAGAATTTTTTTTATAAAATTTCACAAATAAATAAATTTTTATTCGAATTTATTAATTTTTATTATTTTAAAAAAATATAAATTTTTATAAATACCGAAAAATGACAATATTTTATTATTACATTAAAAATAGCTTGTTATCTTTT